CCTTACTAATTGAATAAAGAAAACTCAAGTTATTATATGACTTACCACAGGTTAACCAACGAGTGGACTGGGAACGTCACCAGGCAGCTGTAAGGAAACGTGAGGAGGAAGATGCAGAACGGGAGAGACTAGAATATGCAGCTATTGACTGGCATGATTTCTCTGTTGTGGAGACCATTGACTATCAGCCATGGGAAGTTGGCAGTTTCCCCCCGCCCACAACAGCTGCAGAAGTGGGGCGGCGAGTTCTCCTGCAGGAGCGTTTGGAGGAGGGTGTCAATCCAGACACAGACATGGTTCTGGGCAGTGATGATGAGGAAGAACCTGAGGAAGAGCAAGGGGCCCCTGGTGATCATGATGACACCCAGGTGCAAGACATGGACGAAGAGAGCAGTGAAGAGGAGGAATCGGATGAAGAAACGCCTCCGCCACAGCAGCAGACTCACCAAGAGGTCAAGATGCCTCAGCCTCCTCTACCTAGAGAACCACCCCAGCCAGCTCCCGCACCACCTGTTCCTGGGCAGGTGGTGGTTAGGGACTACAATCCAAGGCAGCAACAACGTAATGCTGCAACCACGACTTCTTCAGACCAGTACCTGGTGTCACCAATCACTGGTGAGAGGATTGCACCTGATAAGGTGGGTCAGCATTTGCGCATTAACATGTTGGACCCACGTTGGCTGGAGGACCGCGACCGTCAGTTGGCCGAACGTTCCAATCAGGATACAGTGTTTGCTACTGGAGATTCCATTCGCTCATCTCTGAAATTACTGGCTGAGCGTCGTACTGATATTTTCGGTGCTGGTGATGAGGAAACAGGTATTGGTAAGAAGATAGGAGAGGAAGAAAAGAGGGAAGAGAAAGTGACATGGGATGGTCATACTGGATCTATGGAAGCTGCCACAAGAGCTGCAAGAGCAAATATTTCTATCAATGAGCAAATCCACCAGATTCACAAGGTTAAGGGTCTTCTCCCTGACCAAGAGAAAGAGAAGATTGGTCCTCAGCCGAAAGTACCATCATCGGTTGGTACAACCCAATCTTCACGTCCTGCTCCTCCCCCACCCAAACCTCAGCCTGCTCCACCAAAGCCTCAGCCTCCACCTCCTCCTCCCAAGTCCATTCCTCAACCAGCTCCAGCACCACCACCTCCAAAGCCAGTTGTCACTCCATCACAGTCAATGATGACTGTCAATCTAGGAGGGCCATTGCCTCCAATGGCTCCCATGATGCCACCTGGAGGTGGTGTCATGGTGGTGCCACGACCGCCTGTCATGATGGCTCCACGACCTGGAGGTTTCATGCCAGGACCTGGCACTCCTGTGACTGGATTCATGGGGCAACAGACTCAACCAGCACCTCCAACTGGACCTCAGCCAGGTGTTGGAGCTCCTCCCATGGGTGGTATGGGTGGAGGACCTGAGAAAGATGATGATGAGGGTCCTTCTGCCAAGCGAGCACGCACTGAAGAAAGCCTTGTGCCAGAGGGTGAATGGGCACGTCGCTTCCCTGGCCCAGTCAAGTTCCAGGTGGCAGTGCCTGTGGTTGCAGATAAGCCAGAGTGGCGGCTTGATGGTCAGACTCTTACCCTGAGCCTTCCACTCACTGACCCAGTATCTGTAGTGAAAGCTAAGCTTCATGATATGATTGGGTTGCCTCCTGGTAAGCAGAAGCTTGCTAGGGATGGTTTGTTCTTTAAGGATTCACAGAGTCTGGCCTTCTACAATGTGGGTCATGGAACTGTAATCCAGCTGCAGTTGAAAGAACGAGGTGGACGTAAGAAGTAATATAACAAAGATAATGGACTCACGTTATTTTGTGTGCAGGTGTGTCTGATAGTTTCTTTCAGTATGTTAAGTATTGGGTGACTGTGAGCATGTTTAAGAGTTTAGGTGCAAGCATTCTGAATTACTATATATGTCAGTATATGTATTACTGTGCATTGTATTTGCATGTATGAGTCAATTGTGAATGATTGATCACATTTTTGCATAGAAATAATTAAAGTGCTTACACTTTTTCAATAGTTTAGGTTTAGTATAAGTGACTTCAGTTGTATATCCTGTTTATATAGCACTGTTTCATTTCCCAGTTTTTATATGTAAACATGGAAGCTTTGTGTTATAATACTACTACACATGAGTATGTGTGAGACCCATACTGTGTTATAATATGCCCACACTAGGTTGAACTGTTGAAAATTATCATCTTAATTTAGAAAATAATAGTTTGTGTTTAATATATTGAGAAATTTTGTGTGTCATTGGGGTAAAAAAAGGGTTTTGTGTGTCTTTGACAGACAGTGATGGCATATTTGCCATTAAGGTAATTGCTTAAAACTAAGCCTGTTTAATAAATTATTTTGGAATAGAAATTAAATTAAAACTAAAACATAATGCTGCATTTTTTATTAAGCAAGAGATGCAATAAATACAAGATATATAAATTACACATTTGACATTCAACTGTTATATTATATATATTGAGTACTCAAGTGAAAAATGCTAAATTGTTCACATATGCTTTTTGTATCATATTAGATAAAAATAAAAAATATCTTAATAAATATGAGGTATTGTAATAACCATAACAAGACAACAGTAGAATTGCCTGTACAGTGATTTTACAGTATCTTACAGGTGTTACCTTGTAGCCTCTAGGACAGAATTGCATTGTACATACTATATTCATATGAAGGTACATGTTTGCATAGAGTATCAGTGGAGGGAACAAGTTTAAGAATAAATAAAAAAACTGTCATGGACCTTTCATGATATATACATCTTACTTGCAAAAATGTGCTGGTATTCCAAAACATTCTATTACAAAATATTAAAAGGAAATTTCACACAGAATTATATATTGTTTTTAGAATTAGATCTCAAAAAATATTTTAGGACAATCATGAATGGAAAAATAGAATTCCATGGCAGTTCATTAAAAAATAAGACCCAGTTTATACAGATTGAACTTTCAAAAATTAAAAAAGCTTACAATCACAGGTCAAACTATAAAGAAAGGACTTCTACTAGCTACAGACAGATATTTTAATACTCTGCATATAAACTGTAGCTTGTGCTGTTAATCCTTTAAATACTATACTATCATACAATAAATGAACGTCGAAATTTAACATTTTAATTGTAATAAAGAATTTAAAAACCCTCCCAACACAATACAATACCAAAGTGCTATATGACCTTTGATGTCTAGCACATTTATTTTCTTGTCATTATTACTTACTTACTTATTATTCTGTTTAAATTTGTTAAGATGCAGTATTTGAAAAATGACTTGAAACTAAGTATTTTAATTATTTGAAATCACTTTTTCTACATACTTTTGTGTGCATTAATACACTTTTGCATATAGTTGTGCATTTAGGAATAAGCATATAACAAAGAGGCACTTGAGTTTGTGAGAATGTGGCTGATAACTGAATCAAGAAACAAGAAGGAATCAAAGAAAATAGAAATACAAGGACATTTCATAGTGTTTGACTGTTAGTTTTAAAGAAATTGTCACATCATGGTAAATTTAATAGTAAAAGAAGACCTCAATTTTTTGGAATAAATGCATTTAACATTTCATTTAAGTAAAAATGCACACATAAAAATTAAAACTGTATTGAAAATCCCTTCTTTGGTACAAAAATACAATATATACAGCAATTTCTTTTATAATCTCTGGACGAACTGGACGGACATTTGTTTTCCATATTGCATAAAATGGTACATAATTACAATTTATGAAAAGTCTAAAAGGCATTGAACATTTATCAAACATTATTAATAAAGAATACAAGACATTTTTTTTTTTTTTTTTTGTATTAAGGTAAATAAGGTGAAAATATGACCAATACTCAGAAACTTTTCCATGTTATTTATACGTGTCAGGCAGAGTCAAGTTCCCTTTGACATAGGCACATTAATGTAATGTTATTCCGATAAGCGGTTATCATCACTGATACCACTCTCTGCTAGGCAATAATGGGACAAGCACTTAATTTCATCCACAAATTTTGCATCTTTAACTTCCTCTATTTCTAACATATCATAAAAGAACTTTATACTTTTTATAGTTACAGATACAATTTGATAAATAATGGATATTCATAAAACAAAGTATGGGTCACTCGACAGAAAAGGAGTATTGATTTCAGTATCAGCTAAAAGATAGGCATCCATTTTAGTATAAGGATTGGCCTGTCTCGATATTAGCATATGAATGGAAACAGCCACAGTAAGAATTGAAAATGAAAGTAACATTTCACCCTCATCAAGAGTTCTTCATCAAACTAATCAAATATATGAGCTGTTCATTGATTCGTCTATTGAGGAACTCTCAACAAGTCTGAAATGTGCTCATTTTCAAATTTATTTTTGTGCGCACATTAGTGTTTATATTTGTTCATATTAGCATATTTCTGGTTTCTAAACCTACAAGCAAAAAAAAAAAAAAAAAAAAAAAAAAAAAAAAAAAAAAAATAGTGTGTCACTCCTTTATCAAGTAGAGAATCAAATGGTGTGCTGCAATGAAAAATAATACAGGAACTTTATTACCAGCTCTCTATGGTGGCTTTGTGCATAACTATGCATGTTGAAAACCAAATAGATTCACATTTTACTGATATGCTGTTAAGACTCATGGAATTTCTAAGCAGCTCTCTAACATTGCTTATACATGTGCACGATAACCTGTGACCAGAAGAAAAATTGCAGCAAAAAGTTGTCATTTTCCCAAGTTATTTGCTCAAACATTGGGAAAGAAAAATGGTGCAACTGGATATTAAGAACTTTCTCGGAAAAAATTTACTTAATGTTTTAATTGCACTGATTGTGCATAAAAGCTGATTATTAATGCAGTTATCTTAATATCTATTCATAAATTCATATATATTGATTACACAATAAACCTTTACAATGAGCAATCAAATAAATACATGCAGAAACAAAAGCTTTCATCATTATGGGGAGACAGGCAGCTCATTAAAAAAAAAAAAAAAAAAAAAAAAAAAACTTTTCAAAATAACTTATGCAAGTACATAAAAACTGAGGGAAATCTTCAGAAGATCTGTTGGGAGAATGGGATGGATGAGCGCTGTGAGTCACTGTAATAATGTACAATATATATACTCCCATACAATAAATGTATTGATAAATCATATTGATAATAATGTACAATATTTATACTCCCATACAATAAAGGTATTGATAAATTATACGAAAGTACCTGAATTGACCCATCAGTCCATTAAATCTGGGTGAAGGGAATGTCTTGTTATGAAAAAGTCTAGCCAAGGGGTACAGATCCTCCACCTCCTGATACTCCTCCTGATACTGCACCCCTCCCTCTAATTCCTTATCCCCTCGCCCCTTCCCCTTCAGATTCTCCAAAACGCACCGTAACCGTCATCACTCGTAGATCCACTAAGTAATAGCTCTCCTAAATTGGAATATTCAATGACCTTCGTCATATCCTTCCTTCCTAAAACCCATACATTATCTGCCTCCAGGAGACTTTTCTTACACATCCTCCTATACCAATTCCCAATTCCCCTTTGTAATGTCCCTCTTTCAGTTCCATATATTCTGTTCTCCTGTCTATGCTTTGCTACAGCCCACACCTCTGCTTTCCCCCACCTATCCTCCCTTCACCAACCTCCCAACCTATCACACATCCTTACGGAATCCCACACTTTCGGCTTTGACAACCTGTTCTCCTTCCTCAGATGCATACATATCCTTCACTTGATCTAATCCCCTTACCTAACCCTACCTTAACCCATTCACTCAAGTCCTTTACCCATCCTTAACCTTTCAATATTACTATAGATAGTTGATGCATAGCAACTAGCACCCTTCACCATCCTTTACTGTACTTTTCTATAGTGCTATATGGCCTTAGATTTAATTTGCTTTTTTAACCATTAACCATTAGCCATGGGGTAGATGACAGTAATGTTCTGTTATGGAAAAATTTGGATAAGGGTTGGGGTGACTTGGAGCATCTTGCCATGGAATACATTGCCAAGTAGTGGGTGATGGGGACAGATCATGAGTGCGCAAAGTATTTGGAGGGAGAGAGACTTCTCAGGCTTTCAGGAAGGGACTTCTGCATTATTTTTACCAGTTCAGGATGGTGGAGTGTACCATGTGTGAGCTGTGCCTACTAGAGGGCCGTTTGTAGGGAGGCCAGACCATAATGTTCACTTGCACAAACCTATTCCTGTCAGTCGTTAATGGCAGTGCAGGTTGTATCATGGTATATTGGATAATACCAAAACATTTTTTAATAATGCAAATACCACAAAGTTACATATCATTACTGTTATTGCAGTGTAAACTACTTAGATAAGATGGTGATTGCTCAACAAAAACTGTCTGTCTGTTGCCACCATCTCGATACAACATAAATGACAGATACAGACCCCACAAAATGGCAAAATAGCAATAACATATTTGCAGAAAAATAATTAATAATACTGCAAAGAGGAGACAAACAGTCTTGATACCAGGCATGACTGAGTGTGGGCCGGGCCTATAAGCTACACACCTGGGAGAGAGGCCATAAAAGTAAGCCTAACACACTGATTCTCATCCATGTATGAGAACGAAGCAGCCAGATCTTATGAGTTAAACTGCAATGCTTTCTTTTTAGTAAATTTTTAAAACTAAGCCGCTTCTGTGCCCTTCAGAACAAAAGGAAAAATCTGACGGAAGCTTTAATGCATATACAACATTAATACTTTAAACAATCACAGTCTTAGCACCCTAATACATGTAAAGTGTACACGTATTTTCTTTTTAATGTTTCACTCCATTGATGAGTTCCATACTATCACTTCTCATGCATCAGGAGGAAACAAGAAAAAAAAAAAGTATCATAGCACAAAAACTGCTAAACTACACGACCGTAAACAGTGAATTAGATTATGGAGAAGAGTAATAAATAATGTTAGCATGCAGAAGTATCTTAAATGTATTAAGTCGGAGTATTATCACCGCATCACTAGACATGAGATGAAGGGAGGCACCTATGTTGTGGAACAGGCTCCCACAGCTTTCAAAGAGATCATTCTCTGGAGAAAAAGTGCATATGCTGCATATCTGTAATGTTAAGTATGCAATATTCCTCTGTGTTATTATCTAATTTTGCATATAACAAATATCTTAAAGAGCAAGCTTAACACATTCTCTATGTATTATTACTACTATTTTTCTTTTTACATCTGCATATATTCTTATTTTCATTCATTTGTTCAAAGTGAAAGCCTATTAGCATTTTGCCTTGAAAATGTCATTCTGACAAATGCCATTGCTTATGGAATGTTCAAAGAGAGTAATCTGATGACTAGTACTGGTATTAACCCAAACTCCTGAAGATTTGGGAGATAAAAGTTAATAGGATTTGCAACTGTGATAAATGAGTGAATCAAATACAAAGATTTCAAGGGAAAAAGTCATCTAAGTG